AAGAGCTATATTCCACTGGCACAGGAGGTGTACGAGTCAATAAGGGACGGCACGGTGAAGCTGTGAACCATGTGCGATCTGGGGAATTGAGCTTTAAATAATAATGATTATTTAAATTACAATGATAATTACTGCACATGTGCAATGAAACTGTGTTTCCCACCAAAGTTTAAAAGTAAAAAATTACAATAAATATGAAAATAAAACATTTATAAAAAATTATATATACAATATAGATACACAGTATCAAGCTGAATAGTTAAAGTGCTGCAGTGCAGTCATATAATATTTTATTATGATTAACAGTGTAGACTTTAAAAGAAATGGCAGCAGTCATACAGATAAGAATTAGTAGCACTGTAAGCGGTTGTTGTTTGGCGGGCCGGATTGGCAGGTGGCTGTGTACCGGATGCTTGGGGTGCTGTGGTGGGGAGGCATTTCCTAAAATTACTGAGTGAATCAACTAGAAATGCAAAAGCCAATAAATGCGTTTTTATCTGAATACTCCGAGTGCTAGTCATGAAACCTGTTCATTTGTTGAATATTTAACTTGCATGCCAATCTGGACAGTCTTTTCTCTGTGTATCTTTGTGTATGTCTCGTTGTCTACGTCTTAAAATGCCACTTACTTTCTTTATATATATAGATATGTATATTCTATTTGTCCATTTAATGGGGTGGAGTGGTGGCTATGGGGCTAGGGCTCTGTGCCAGCAACTGCAAGGTTGTGGGTTCAAATCCCCTGAATTCCTGGAGTGATTCTACTCTGTTGGGCCCTTGAGGAAGTCCTTAACCTGCAGTTGCTTCATCCTGGGTATGATGTTAATCTGTATCCAGCCCTATGAGGAGGTCCTCCAGCTTACAGGGACTAACTTGGGGGTTGGTGGCAGGATTGGCAGTCCAGTCACTGGGGTTCTCATCCCTGAGGTGGTTCATCATGTGATGGGTGCAGCAACACACTAAGTGCACGCTCCTTACCTTCATAAATTTATATTCTGTCAATCTGAAGACACAGCTACTAAAATATTCTGATGGGTTCCACGTTCTATGGGTTTTACCTATAGGAAGAAAGTGCGGGAGACAGAAAATCGTAATAAGAGGGATATACCTTATTTATGGCTTTCTTATCAAGGGTACTTCAGCGCAACAAACCAAAACACAAATAACTACAGCCTATTGTGTTCAGCTGGCTTTTCCCATCCCTTCTCCACAATCTAATTGTGGGAGGAAAGTGTGACAAAAAGTGAATAACTTATATGAAAGCAAACCTACCCCTTTTGAATGAACAATTGATAGAAAGAAGCTTTTTAGGTCCTGATTGCCCAGTTTTGATCACAGATGACCCCTCCCACCCCAAGTCCCTGGTCATCAAAATTTACCAAGGGACCCCCCCACAGTTAGCAGATTTTACCACCCAGTCAAGCAGCTGCTCCCACAAAAAGTCTCTGCATGACCCTGCAAACCTGTTTCAGCTATTGAGCATTGTTCTTACTTCTGAGCAATAATTTAAATGCTTCTATTCCCCTATCTATCAAATTTTGTGACAGAAGCGGCTCAATCCACCCTAAAATTAAAGCAGTGGACTGATCCAATCAGTGCACTCGCCCATGGATTCTCATTGGTTGGACATGAACATAGTTACTCATGGACCAGACATACCTGTAAAACATGGGAGAGTACTATGAAATGAGAATATAACGTGGGGTGGCACAGTAGCCCCCTGATTCGCATTGTAGCCTCACACCTCACAGGAGTTGGGGTTGAGCCTCTGCCCCTTCCATGCGTGTGCTTTCCCCATATTGTTGTGGTGTTTCCTCTTCTCATGATAGTCCAATAGGAATACTCCTTACCTTAACTCATACTAGACAATCATTACTTTTGTCTTAAGTTAGAAAATGGGGACAACTTGTGCCTCTGTGGGACCAAAAGGCTGCTGGTTCCAGGCTGGCCCTGGCACATATGCAGGTCCTTCAGCAAGGACCCCCACCCCCCTGGGTGCTGCTTTGGATGGCTGCCTTTCACAGCCAGCTTACTCTCTTCTTCAGAGAGCAAAATGGGGGAAGCATAAAGAGAATTTCCTCCCCCCAAGAATCAATGACGTTGTGTTGGCGGCCGCCCAGGGTTGGTTTCTGCCTGCGGCCATTGTTCCCAGGATAGGCTCCAGTCCCCCCCACGACCCCAGTTGGGATTAAGTGGTTTCAGAAAATGGATGGAATCAATTACTTCTCTATCATTATTATTATTAACTCAGCGATCTTGCTTTGTGGAACATTCCATAGGTTCTCTGATTTCTCTCTTTAGTCAAAAATTATGCTAAGATTAAATACACTGCACTTTCATTACAGTATTATTCTTATGTGTCTTATTATTATTAACATGCTTCTTTATTTAAAGTATCTTTCAAAATACTTTCTTTCTTGTTATTTCAAGAAGTTCCATATGAGCAACTTCAACAACTTGTTGCGCAATATTCCAGTTGCGCTGAACCGAGGCAGCCTAACCGCAGCAACGAAACACAGGCTCCGCCTAGGGATAAAATCATTGGCGATTTTAAGCGCACCCAGTGCGTGTGACAAAGGTCATTAGAGAAAACCATGACTTCGGCCGAATATGGTTTATGAAATGGTGTTCAGCATGTTCACGCTGTACGCTGCTCTTGCCGGACTCGCAGTCCTGCCGTTTCTCCTGTGTTCCTGGTTTCCTTACTTACTCCACGATTTAAGATACTTCTTAGCAACAGTTCAAATTGGCATTTTTATTTCGAAATGCAAACGAAAAAAGCCTTGTTATACCGTAGTGGACTGCTTTTTGGACAAGGTGAAAAAGAACCCGAACAAACCCTTCATTGTTTTCGGTGATGAAATATATAGTTATAAGGACGCGGATAAAGTCAGCAATAAAATTGCCAGAGCTTTGCTGACACACGCTCGCTTGAAAGAGGGCGATACTGTCGCAGTTTTCCTGGGAAATGAACCCTTGTACGTGTGGATTTACTTGGCCCTGGCGAAACTGGGCTGTGTCGCTGCGCTGCTGAACTGCAACATTAGATCCAAATCCCTACTGCATTGTTTTTCTTGTTCGGGGGCCAGAGTATTAATAGCCGCAGCAGGTAAGAATCTGCATTTGGCTGAAATACATTGTAAATCGTGAAGGGACCGTTTGGATGATGATTATATAATAATAAAATAATTAATTATTATTTATTATTAATATTGACTGCAGTAATAGAATCAACCTACAAAGTCATGTTCTCTTAGATTTGAAAAGCGCCGTGGAAGAGGTGTTGCCGGGGCTGAAGGAGAGTAACGCCTCGGTGTTCATTCTGGGTGAAGAATGCGACACCCAAGGAATAGAAACACTCTCGGACAAAATCAGTCAAGCCTCCGATGAAGCGATATCCCCAACCTGTAGGTCAAATATTACTATGAAATCCCCCTCAATGTACATCTATACGTCAGGCACAACAGGTAATAACTGTGGGATATACTTTGGACTGTACCTTTTAATAAAATCCTAACAACGTTTTGGTTTATAGCATATTTTATCAGTTGTGACAGGCCTCACATATAATTCATACAGCCCTGTTGTATGAATATTTACTATGAAGATCTGAACAAAACTGAACAGGAACATTCATGTGGCAGAAACATGATTTTACACATATGATATCTGTGACTTTCTGTCGAACTTCAGAAGAAACATTGAGAATGTGCCCATCTACAGCAGAGGTCACACTGCACCTGAATAGAAAAGGACATTTTTTAAAACTCTGAAGAGAATACAGTTTAATTACCAAAATACAATTATTTATGAATTATTCAACTTGAAACATTCTAATGAAGCAAATAAAGCAAACTGAATACCCGAGGTGGAGATTTCAAGTCCAGAGAGTACAAATCCAGACCAAGTACTCTGTGACTGTGACTCTTTATACTCAGCTAGTTGGTTGAAACTAAATCTTGGTCTGGACTTGTACTCTCTGGGCCTGAAATCTCCACCTCTGCTAAATACGGATTACAGTTTAACGAAATCTTGTTTCTTCGCTGTATGTCTTTCAAGGACTTCCTAAGGCTGCAGTGTTAAACCATGAGAGGGTCTGGATGGCATCTTTTCTACAAAAATTAAATGGAGTGACCTCTGGCGATGTGATGTATGTTTATCTTCCTCTCTACCATGCTTCTGGATTCCTTATGGGACTTTGTGGTGCAATTGAAAGAGGTAAAGTGTGAAACCCGACCGACCCAGCAAAAAAGTAGGCAAGCATTTCAGCAAGATATTGAAATTATGCTTTATTGGTTTTTGAATGAGTACATTCCAATTCTTCTTTTTGAATATCCCACGTGCTCTCCTTTGAGACATATTCACACA